GGACTCGTTAAGACCCCACCACCACCACCGCCATCAGCTGAATGAGCTGGCTAACTCCCCTCCTATTCACCTTTTCCCTACTCAACGCCTTTCAAATCACAGTTCATGAGCGCTCGCACTGGCACACGTACACGCACACAAGCTGGCTTTTTAATTACAATTTTAAAGCCCGATGCCAGCACTCGAGGGAAAGGGTAGAGGGAAGGATGCACTAGAAAAGAACTCCCACATGAATTAGAACCTGACAGTTTGTGGAATCTCTTTTTCTTGCATTCTACAAATGCAATCGAACGGACTACTTCATTCAACAACATGCGCTCCTAATGCGAGAGAGAGAGGAAATGTGGGGCAGTGACGGCGCTGTTGCGGCGGAAGTGAAGGGGGTTGCCTCCTACACCTTTAAAGTACTTCTACAGTCTCTTCTCATATCCTACTGTTGTATTACAACAAAGTGGTCAAAATCCAGTACCTTTGATAATTTCCCCTCTCCTACAGTAAAAACTGTGACTACTAGAAGAGTAGTCTATTACTTTGGTGAGATTTTTTTGCATTTTTCGCCCCCTCTTTCCTTGCATTAGGGCCGTGTAATGGTGGCTGATAACATCTCCAGCATTATGTGGAAATTGTTCGGTGGACATGTGATTTGGCGGGTGAGTGTTTAACTGACAGCTACCATTCATGTGACCTGCCATCAAATTGCCATACAATAGATTTTATGGATAAGAGGAAAAAATTGTTGCCCATAAATATTGCCTCCACTAGACAATGTAAAATTAATGTAGTAGGGCTGAACAATCTCTTAAATTATGAAAGCGACCAGAGTTTGCGCCACCCATTAGTAACCACATTTGACGTTCAAGTCTAAACGGGACCCACTGTTTTTGCTAAGGAAGAAATAGCCGAATTACAGGTGAGTGTATTACATCTTTTTCTAGATACGCTCTTCGGTCACCCATTCCAGCCGGCGGGTAATACTTGGCAAGACTCTGCAAGGTACGGAAGCACCCCTACATCTTAAGTTTGCCTGCTTCACGCCGTACTATGACATTCTGGTGATCGCCTGATAGCTAGGTAAACATAAAAGGGATCAACACATCACCACCTTCACGAATGCGGGTTAACTCCTCCTCAGGTAGAGTCGATGGGTGCTGATACATTTTGAAGAACGGAACCCAATTGTAAAAAATTAATAAAGACGCGACCTAATAAACAAGATTTAGGACATTCTTTTAATTGAAGCCAAAGTGGTGTGTACTTGCGCCAGACATTTTTAACTCTCTCCCTTCTAGTTCACGAAGTGGGTCATTTTGTCTGATATTGGCATGGTCTGTCAAAAGGTGAACCAAAATTATCACCACTCACCGGATTGGGGATGTTCATATAGTCATACTGTTAACTGCAACATGTACAAGTTGTTTTTGCCTCTTGGATACAAGGGTGCATTTACTAAGTGACAGCCCCGACAAATGCATTAGTTTCTATCGTACAGCCACTTTGGTGAAGCAGAGTGATACAGAAAAATATTCCTACGATACACCTAGAGGAGTAAATATTCACTATCAAATGGAGGTTCTTAAAATACCTACTTGGTTGCTTTAACAGTTAGGGGTGTGTCATTACTTGCAAAGGGGGCACTTAAATAAAGTGAATAAGCTGGTTTTGTGTTCCTTCAGTACAGATGGACTGAGGGACTACTAACTTGGCCTGGAGGCTATACCGCTCAGCTAAAGAACAAACGCAGAGTCCTTAGTGCTTGCGTAACCAAAATGAAGTTCTAAATAACTGACATACTACATAGCTCCTCTCTTCTTTTCAGCGGTATCCCTCTGCGCTCCCCTTGGTCAACCTCCCACATTGATCACCGCAATGTTGTCAATGCTTAAAAAAAGGTCCGCCAGCCAGCCGTGCCAATCGTCATTGACTTCTCTTACCGATTCCACTGGGTCTGAACTTCCAGCCTTCATGGGAGCTGGATTCGGGAGAAGGATGTAAGTGCTGGCCATCACGCGTGTTCATAACTAGTCGTGGTAATGCTGGTCCAAAGGCAGTCATTTGATTTAGGTGATGAGGTTTCCCTCCCATTTTTCTTTGCTACCTTTATCAATTCAGTGCTTTACGCTTGTATATCCATCTAGGTTCTATCCAGGTCATCAAGAAGTGGAGGATGGATGGTGCTTTCATCTTCATACAGGTGCCATTAGAAATCTCCGTAACGAACTTTCCAGATGGTTCACGTCTATTGTCGCTTCGGTTGTTAATATCAGTCCTATAGAACACAGTACTTGGATTATTTCCGAAGGTAGACGTCTTTTCCAGCCTATCCTCAGTAGATACTTGTCTCTCATTACGTTAGGGTTTAGCATTCAGTTACAGAAGTCTAAGTAGATGTTCCTTAGGATCGGGTTGGTTTTCCACTGCTTCCATGGGCTGAGGGACCACTAACATTACTCAGAGGCCATGCCTCCCAGCGGAAGTGCAAGTGCGGCGCCTCCAGTGCCAGCCTAACTGAAACGAATAGTTATTCAAGCAAAGTTTGAAAAAGTAGACCTATTCACACCAGAGACATACTACCAATAAAATATGGTTCCACTTTACTCTCACTGCAATAGGTAAATGTTACATCAAGTGCTTAAAACCCCCCAAAAAGGCCCAACCCTCTCCCAGTCGAATCCAGGGGGCTTGCTCGTGGCAACACCTAATACAAGATTTTAGCCTTGTAGGTTGAGCACGAAACCCAGATTTGGCTGCGTTTACTACAATATAATGCCTATCTAAATTGCAAACATCACTCCCATTTGCAACTTCCATCGAAAAATCACAAATGTATTTGTGCATAGAAGAAATCAAGGTGTACATAAAATCTTACCAATCTCATTGGCGTTAATTTGTTTCAATTGTAAAATAGGCTTTAAAAAATCATTAAAAAAGTGAAAAGGCATGCAGGTCGATTGTGGTGAAAAAGGTGCCATTTGTTGACAATTGACAATTGTTGAGACAAAGTAAACTCAGTTTTGGGTAAGAACCGGGTAAACGTATGCACCGGCCGATCAAAAAATGTTTGTGTCTGCTATGGAGTTCATTCCCTGTCCTTAAGGTAAGCCATAGAGAGTACCGGAATGCTTGCCATTGTTTGCATTCATTGTTACAAAGCGTGGGTTGACGTATGTCCGTCTGTCGGTTTAGTGGTCCACAATGGACTCTCTACCAACTCGCTCATTTTCAATCGTCATACAGTCGAATGGGATATTCCGAAGAACCTGATGCGTGAGCATCGAGACAGTATGCTTGACAAGCTGAGACTGACTTGGTTCAAAATCTTGCACGACATGACGAGGAGGAGCAAGAGAAGAATGTGATGGCAGGGCGCTACACTGAAATATTCCATAAAGTGTGATTCCACTGATGAATCGTTCAAGGATAGGCGCATCACCTTGTAGACGACCCCGTCATTCAAGAGAGCGTTAATACGTGACCAAAGACATGGACGTGGGCGTGTGAGGAATCACCTCCGGTGAGGTTTGAAATAAATGGCGAAACAACTAGTCGACACGCTCATCAAGCGAGAAAGGAAAGTAGAAGCCCACACTTATGAAAGCCAGGCATAACCAGTCAGCCTTTGAAATATAGGTTCGCTTTTCATTGTAAAAAGCAACGCTACTCTAGACGGCGAACCTAATGTTGCATATCGTCACCGTAATACCTACTGCTTCTCATTCCTCCACATTCCCATGGAAATATTTCTCTCCATGGTGGTGGTGAGCCTCTGAGTGCCTGCAAGGTAGACCTGACAGTAGTGCAAAAAATGGGACAAAACACAACGCCCAAAAGTAAAGTTTAAGGTCTGTTTGAGCCTCCTTAAGAGGAGCTTCCAGACAGTTTTTCAACTTCTCCACCGAAGAATATCACAGGAAAAACTTGTGCTGTCACTTAATCCGAATTATACACTTATCACATTACTTGAAGAAATAAAATTTGGGACTACAAAAGAAAAAATGAAAACTATATAGCAGTTCATGGTAATAGCTGGCAAATTATAGGCTACACAAGTAGGATATTTGGCACACCTCAACCGGTTCTAAGGTCTTAAAAGATTTTGGTCCAAATGTGTTTATTAGCATCCATAATGGATATCCCCGTAGTGCTCAACCCCCAATGAAGCAGTACCTTAGATTAAATATTTTATCACTTGAATTCCCCAGCGGTAACATTTCCGTCTCATGACATTGAATTAAGTATGAATAATTTATTGTATCCCTGGTACTCAAGATGTTGCCCCCAACTTTAGAGGAGCCAGAGTGACTGTAAAATTTGGCGCTATCAGCATAAAAGTTGGCAGCAACCCCTAAGTTAAAAAGTTTACTTTCAAATTTTAAAAGTAAAGTGCTATTTTTTTTGAAACTAGCGGTGATTTGGGGAAGACGGAGATACTACTGATTGAAAATAAGTATTTTATGATAGAAAATTTATGATTTACACGTTCGTTCGTTTGAGAAGAAAAACCCTAATCAGAGGTAAAAAAGTTTCTTTGTCGCAAATCATATCGCGCGTCAATTCACGAGAATACTGCACAAATGTAGTAAATAGGTTTAAAGTTGGAAATTAGCAGTAAGAGCGAGGAAGGTTTTCGGGCCTTATAGTACATACTGCTGGGGCAGTCTGGCCAGAATTTATAGTTCGTTAAAATCTAGGCAGTCCCACACACGAAATTTCTGTCCTTGCCGAAATGTTATTGAATATATATATATATATACCTACTTTTTACTCACTCAGGTGATTATATTTTAGCGAGGTCGTGGGATTTTCCCGACCTCACGCCTCCACGCTAAGCGCTTTGAAAGATACCAAATTATGGTGAGCCAACTGCTATTTACTTCGTCTTAAATATCTTTATTTTCTGAAACATACGACTAATAAACTTGTGTAGACGCTACTGACCATACACTGTGGCTATTGTTAAGCCATTTACTCTAAAGTATGACGTCTCAATCATCAAAGCAAGTCTTGGGATAGAAATTCTTTAAAAATCGTCTAAACGGAGGTTAAACCATTAAATATACTTCAAAGGGGGATAGAAAATGAAAGACAAAACCACTGTGATTTAGAAGTGGTGTAATACGATTTGAGGCTACTAGCTAAACTCATCCCCGCACTATGGCAGTTGGTTTTTGAAGTAGGGTCCGTATAAACCCCAATGAAGCAGATTAACTGATTTTCCATCCCAGCTTATCTCCATATTGATAATTTCTCCAGTTGGCTTCACACATTTATCTGGCAAAACACTTGAAGCTTTTCCATCAAGTCCTGTTGGCACTGAATTGCACATTTAAACGCGCACTGTTTTGGTGGATTATACAGATAAAATCTGGTGGGGATTTGGGCGCCCTACCAACTGCAATGTTAAACTTTTGTCATTCTTTGTGAAACCTGACTGCTCCTGACATCACTGTCTTTGTGTAAACCTGCCAAGGCGCTGATGGTATCTCGAGTTTACAACCTTTGGAAAAGGCGTATTTGCAATATGAGACTTCATCGGTTGTTATAAGGTTCTGGATGGTGTCTACCTGGAGGAGGGGGAATGTTTGTTTTGCTGGATCTACCGAGATCACAGCCGTCCATCGAAACGAGGTTCGCTCTCCCAGGGGAGACTACATATCTTAATTCTCCGTTGCAACTACCCGTCCCTATTTACAAATCTGCATTTCATTCACAAATCAGCATTACCAATTGAAGGACTTAACAACAGAGACCGATGAGGGAAACAACGAAGACTCTACGATTTGGTAAGTCCTGAAACAGCAAGAAATGTAGGTTAGGGATTGTCATACCCGCTACCACCTTTGCACATGTGAAATACATAATGACAATGGCATGTGACAGTTGGAAGCCGAATAATGCGGAAGTTAAATTAATAAGGGGGTGTTTTCGGTCAGGGATTAACTAAAAAATAAGTTTCCGGGGTAGGGAGGTCATTTCCCTTCCAGAATCTGCATGTGCTATCAATCAAACAACCAATCTGTTAGTGATTCTGACTTGGCATTGTTGAAGTACATCAGGTGAACTACAAAAATTAAGGCAAAGATGGGATGTTTATGGTGTTGCCAAGGCAACATCAAAACAGACATGCGTCGTCTGTAAACCAGATAAACCAATTAAACTATTTTGAAGGGAACACGTACTTTGGATTTTAATATCTCTGTCTGAAGAGGCAGTCTTAAAGTACAACCCCATAGTCCATAAAAAAATTTCGGACTTATCTTTACGGTAGTGAATTATGGCATTAAACAAGTGTATTCGGTTCTGACACCGCATACATGAAATAGCGGAAGGCTTCCTTATTTATGGAAGTGGTCCAAGTTACTCCCTATTATCTATTCAGCGAAGCACAAGCTTGATGGGAGTTTTACTTCCTGCAAAACGTGCCTTGTTAGCAGAAGAAAATAAAGAAGAGGTATTAGCCCTTGCTACCTCCGTTTGCATTATGGCACCTGTGTTTCCCTAAATGCCTATTCTACTTAGTATGCATTCATCACATTCCCATAGAATGCCATTCAAAGTTGACAAAGGAAATGATACTAATCACTTGGAAAATATCATCAGAAGTAAATGGAGGATGACAAAGACGAGAGGAGAACAAAGATAACCCGGTGTTCTCCTCCCTCTAACTTTACCTCGTACCTGTTCCCACTGGTAGGTTTTATGCTAGTGTGGTTTTGTGTGTGGTGTTGTTTGCCGCAATGGGAAAATGACATCCCTTCCACTCACTGCTTGATCAGTCATTTGATTGGATAGTTGATTCCAGTTGCTTCGCAGGGAGAAGATGGTTAAGATTTGAATGAAGCAGAGGAGGAGGAGATAGATGACAAGGAAAAAATGAAGATGCCGAAGAGGAAGTGAGACTTGAATCCTACTAAGTAGATAGATATCATCCTTAATTGTTTGGCCTTCGCAGTAAGTGGTCAATGCCTGACCGACGATTCCATCTGCTGTGCAACCCATACACACGAGCAATGATAAAAAGTGATGCTCGCTGGCCAAACTAGCCATACAATACCATAGTAATTTTCCACCATAGAATAGTCAATCAACCAGTCATACATTCAGTCAGTTGTTCGTCCAACAAACTGACAAAAGGAGTAGTGAGGCATGTGAAATGGATGGTCCCTGCACTTTGTAGGCTTCTGCTTATGCGTGATAGTTTCCCCTCCACTTTCCCCTCCCACTTGATGTGCTTGTCATCCACTTATTCCAAACATCACTAGAGGTGGCTCTTCACACGTTTACCTCCACTTATTAGGACACTTATTTGTGCTACCACGATCTTTCGCATTCCTGTGAAAAATGATGGGGTCGTCCACAAGATGACGCGTCTATCCTTGAGTAATTCATCGGTGGAATCCTATTTGATAGATTGCTTCATGTGTGACACGTCCGTTTACGGCATTCGACTAACATACCTCCTCCTTGTTCCATGGGGGACGGTCACAAACCGGTAGCCACAGTTCCAGCAATAAATTAAACTCTGTTCCTGAAACAAGTAAAAACGAGTTCCATATCACCGGGCTTTTTTGGAGTGGCATATTCGATGATGTGGCGACTGAACATAAAGGACGATTTAGTAGAGTGCTAAAGTGAATACCAAACTAACAGCCAGATTCATGACTATCTATTCTTTACAAGGTATATATAGTCGTAAGCATTACATTGAAGTTTACAAGAAGCAAAAAGGCTTTTTCCTTTAAGATGAATGAACATGAATTTGGATGCTTCCTTGCCTGTTTAAGCAAATCCCCATTGCTTAATTCTCCATTTTTTGTGATACACGATTTTGATGTAATTTATTTAACACACAAATCCGAAGAAATTCTACTACTCACCCCGAACTGTATCCTTCACTTTTCAACTTTGTGCTCCGCTATCCAACACCCTTCTTCCACTTTATACGACTGCTGTCTTGGGACGGTAGCCGTGAAGACTTCAGCCTCTAGGTAAATGGTATCACTTCTGCAAAAATTCAACGTTTTATCTCTTTGGCAGGCCTAAAAATAGGCGAGAAGCTCTTCGTGATCTTGCAAAACTCAATAGCCTAAAGATAATACAGTTTGACATTTGCGTCCAATTCGCCTTACTTTTGCGTAATTTTGGACAATGCAGTAGAGTTGGGGGCTGAAGTAAAAGGCGCACGCAAGTGTGGTCAGTGGACAATGGGAGGAGGCATTTGTATGACAGACTGTCAAGCAAAATTTAGCATTCCACATTGAACCTAGTCTACCCTAACGGAAACCGCAAGAATGCCACACCTGGAAATACTGATTCTCACAATTCACACCAGAAAGGTGCTTCCACATCCTAACTAAGTCGGGTGCACTTTTTTCTTCCAATGACTTCATTGTGTCAACCGTAGATGTCAAGGAAACATTACCTTTAGTTGAGTTGCTTCACCGTCAGAATAAACTGGGCACACTTTAAGCTTTTAGTGGCAGTTGTGTTTTACTAGAGATATAAAAGTTGATAAATTAACCAAATTAGCAAGTACATTTAGCGATAAATTTTGGTATGTGTTAATGAAATGTTGTAGTTTGTGGATCTGGCATTAAAAAAAGGTGGAAAAAAGTACATCAAGTCTATAAAGCCGAAAAGGGAGAAAGCTCAAGGACATTTGGGGTCCCAAATGTCACGCTGCTAGATGTTTGAGGAATCATTCCTCGGCCAAGATTACCCTTTGATACGGAGGTGCTAGCCTCTGGGGTGGTGTCCTCGATAGGATCAACCAAGCTGGTTATGCCATGACTGACGAGGGAACTACTTCCCCAGCTTGGTCTTATTGAAGTCTCTTATAAATTAAGTTAATCGGTAACGTCTTCTGTTTTGGCTATCGTGGGTCTCCCTTTAAACCGTCATTAACCGCAAGACGAAAGCGACGAAGGAATCCTTGTTGCATCATTGTTTAAATGTTGATGGATGCGTTTGGAAAGTTGTGCGAATAGCTAGAAAATTTTCTACATCAAATGAACTTCATACCTTAACGACTTTCTGGATGAACATTGGTCTAAAAGCAACAGGAGAAAGAAAGTCTTTTTAATCTCTATATTATGGTGAAAAACTCGCTGATATCATGGGAGAAAGGTAAGCTGCTTGGCTCATTATCAGCCACTGCTATGAAGGATTTGAGGTTAGGAAAGTTAAGGCGACTTTGACAGGTCCTATGTCATGCGACTCCATTAAAATAAGCTAAGCAAACAAAGTCGGGGTTGATGTTCACTTGCATTGGGTTCTATTACCACGGCCACCAGTGTAGAACACCTCGTCAGCCCTAAAGAAGTCATCAATGCCAAGATGGCCATCTAATCCTTGAGCCTGAAAGGCCCATTCAGCAAATTGTTTTCAAAAGAGTGTGTAAGGGGCGTGTCTTTAGCATCACCACACATCGGGGCTACAAAAGCAATTGTAAACAAACACTTATAGTGTGTAAATAGAGGGTAAATGTGCACAAACATCGGTTTCATAGGACCTTTTGATTAGATTAAACCTCTGGTTCCAAATCTAATATGTCACTTTGCATAGTCAATCAACTCCGGGGGCCTATTTATAAGCCAAACATTAGTGGATAGGATTTTGACAGCTATCACCTTGAGGGTTTTGATGCTCCATTTACAAATTCCCACTTACTCTATTTGAATGAATGAATAAATGAACGAATACACCAAAACACCTTTTATGGCTTGGATTCTTCACTCAGAATTATGCCTCCCCTAACCCTCCGTCACCTCCCCGCCCACCTTGACGCATGACTCATGGGAGTGGGAAAGTTGCCACTGTTTATATTTCCGAGGTCGCCAGTACTGCATGCCTCAACCCGCTCGTACACATACCATCACAACACGGAAGAGTGAGTGTGCTTTATGAACAGTCAGCCAAGTACTTTGACAGTGTTTTTCTATAATTTATGCTAACAAACAGCCTTAAAGATCAGCGAGGGCACCAGCGTGAGGGGCCTTAAACACTTGCTTATGATCACAAGTAAATCCCATTTAAGTTGGCAGAAAGGGGGACTCATTAAAACAAACAGGAAATTCGCTCATATATTTCCTTCTATACAGAGAAGATTTCCCAATCTGCTGATCATTCCACCCGGCGTTGTGGCTCCAGTGGACCCAAAATAGTTGTTAAAATAGTAGAAAGAAATTACACAAAGCTCTGAATTGAGGGGCTGATGCAAATGTATTTCATCCGAGCACAGACTAATCCATTAGGACAACGGTTTCTAGCGTAAACAGTCCACACCTCCGCGCCCACGCTCCAACCGAGAGGACTTAACACAACCGGATACAGTGTGTAAGGCACTTCCTTTCTGTATGGCAGCCAAATTTCGTAAAGTGTCAGTTTTTTGCCTTAAAAAGGTCTCAGCTATCATTAAAATTGTGAAAAATAAATTTGGACCACTTTTAAAAAGTTACATAAAATATGATTTCGTTGCACTGGATGGTGATTGCCCAAAGTGAAAGCGAGTTCCAGCTTGTTTGGATCTTATAATGCGAAAGTGTGAGGTACCTGTTTAAACTCGTTCCTGTTTATTCAGTTGCTTGTACACTTCCCTTGACAGGGTAACATCAGCGGGAGCTTTCAAAACGTTGTATTTCATCAAGTGGACACTAAAATTTTGAAGTTAACATTTGCTCATTTCTCTATTAGAATCAAAACGACCAAAAGACTGTAGAATGAGACTCCTGTTTAAACGACACGAAAGAAAAGATAGGTAGTGAAATAAACAAGCATTTTGAAGAATAAATTATGAAAGGGGATTTATAAGAAAATAAGCAGGGATTTCCTAAAAATCGTTTTAATTTGGTTTGAAGATTAGGAGTTGTAGGGATTGCATTCGGCCCTACTGATGGGATTTTTTAGGGCAAAAAAACATTTGCGAAAAATGTGAATAAGAAATCTGGAAATCACTTTTTACTTTCTTTATCAGATGACCAGAAAAGGGTAGACTCATCTCAGTGTAGCTGGGCAAAATGAATTGTTATCGCACACAAGGACTAGTAAAATGCTTGTTAATGCATTTTGGAGCATCAAATAGACGCAATTAGACTGTTGGTTGGGCAATACTCAACATTGTACTCTCTATCAATTCATCCATGGTTTCAATCCCTTCATCAATAAGTGGGTGGATCCAATGCAGTTGATCTCGGTTCTAGAGCTGTGGCTACCGCTTTGGAATGTCTCGCACACCCTCTCACTTGGCGTAACGAGGTTGAGGCGGAAGAGGCGGAGTAGTGATAGCAGAGCATGTTACACCAAAGTGTTTTCCGAAACCCTAATCTGCTAAAAAATCACTCAGGGTTAGAGGCGTCACCTCGTGAGCGACTTCAGTGTTCTTCAGGGGAATGTCGAGGCTCATGGCAGCACGGATACGAGTACAAGTACGTGGAGGTGAACGTGTAAAGAACCACGTCTAGTAATATTTAAGACGAGTGATGAAATAACTAGTTGACACGCACATCGCATAAGAAGCCAACTCGCAAATGAATTCTACACGCTGACAATTTGCAATCTGTCACTCCCTACTTCTTCGTTGGCGCATCCATGAATGTGTGCCACCCATCTTCGGTCTGTTTAACGAACAACTGCTTGAAAGGGGGGGTTCACCAATCTGTGTTGGGAAATGACTTCTGTATTGAGATGCTCCGCGGATCAACAAACGCCCCAGTGCCACTAATACGTCCACTACAACAACTATAAAATTGTCTGCTACGCATCGACCACTTCTGACATCTACCTACTCAATGCAATTCGCCTCCCAATTGCCCTTCCGCACCTGGCCTCTCTTCCTCTTTCTCCTCTCTTTCTTCTTCTTCTCCTTCGTCACCAACTTCTCCCTTGGAATAGGCAAAATTCAAGCAGTCAATCAAGAAATCATTGGAGGGATCATCCTCTTCTTATTGCGGCAAGCAAAATGACCCATGACATCGTCACTCTATAGCCTACTGATGAGGTTTGGACTGTAGGATGAAGAGAGGAGAACAGTGCCTAATAGAGGTTCCCTCCTCGTCCTCCGTATTCTTCCAAAGATATTTTTTAAATGAATGACACTCTCTCCTTTGTCACCTTTGCTTGGTATCCGATGGTAATGCCGCGAAGGTATGCAAACCAGCGTCGACATTTGGAAAACAGGAGTGTTTCTGCTGACGGCATTGTTTACAAGAAGTGGATCTCTCAACATACTTGCGCCCAGCTGAAAAGGGATGGTAAGGAGTAACCTCCATCATTTTCATAAAAGGGAAGTCTTATGATTTAATATGCATGCGGTTTTAGGACTGTCCACATCTGTGGGGATAAATCTGCGAAGGAGAAGCACTTTATGATGGCTTCCACAGACAGAGTCATTCAAAATCATAAGTGCGTGGTCTCTTCAAAGCCGTTTAATGGGTTCAGTCTATTTTATAGGCAAATATAGAATGCATAAATGTGCACGAACTTTTACCTCAAAAGTTACCGTCCATCGCTGTGCCACCGCAAAAAAATGAGGGTCATGCATGCGAATTTCACCAGTCCATCTAGCCGTATTTGAATTCCTTTTTTTAAAGTCAGTGAACATTCTTTTTTTAATGGTGGGAATTTTCTACATCCAAAGAGTCCCTTCTACGTTGGGGTTTTTACACATTTAACGGCAAATTTATTCTGCATAATCTAAAGAATAAGATCAGTTTGAAAGGACGGAAATAATTGCATCCGATCTCGGCAATCTTTGTGTTTCAGAGAAACACCGGTTCTGTTTATTCCACTACTAACGTTTTATTTTGTCATGTGAACTTTATTTACCATCACGGAGGTTGAGGCGACAGACAATCCAAACAAGTCAAAGTACCTACCATTGAATAAAAAAATAGGCTTTAAGGAACAACCGAAACGAATGCATCAAAAAGGCTTAAAAGAGGCTGCCAAGTACAAGGCTGATTTCAGGGCCACATTAGGGGCGAGGGAAGGCAGAACTGAGGTTTCTAAAGGCCTCACCGAAAAATTGCAGCATATATATTCAAGTATTCAAGAGGCGCCTTTGTTGCAGCTTGCGTCAAATTGTGGTCTTTGCACGCAAGGAAACTTGTGAGTTTATTGCTTTTGGCTGTTTGGTAAAACGTAAAACAAAAGTTAAGCGTCGTTGAATTTATTTTATTGTTATGGCTTTTGGAGTCTTTTTTAAGATGGTTCTAGCCTCTTTTTTTCGTTATAATCGACAAAAAGCATGATTTACTTAACCAGTTTACGAAAAAGGGACCTGAATTGACCATTGAACGAAAGTGATTATTTAATGAATTACTTGATTAATCGCAGTTGACGACCAATCCCGTGGCTGTGTTAGGAGTAGAGTGCAAATTATTTAAGGATAGGAACCTTTTTACGTTGTCTTAGTCAGTGGAAAGAAACAGGATTACTTCTGCTAATCTCTTTCCACTAAGGCGTAGGATTGCAGCTAAAGTCCTACTTTTGAGTAAGCCTGTTTTGTCTCTGGAGACAAACAACTTAGCTCTAGTCACCTCCGTTTCCATGTATGCACTTTTATTTCCCGACTGTCTAATCTATATTGCATGTGTCTGAGGGAAGGAGCAATGTCAGGAATTGGTGATTATCACTTGGAAAATATTATCAATGAGGACACGGAGGACGGGGATGGGGTTGAGGAGAGAATATGGATGGGATGATGTTCTCCTTCCTCTCACCCTACCTATAAACCTTCTCAACGGAAAATTTTATGGTGGTGATGTGCACTATTAGGTGCGATGTCATGTTTCATGTTGCTCGCCAAAATAAGAAAGAAATGTTCCTTCCACTAACTGCTTAATCTGTCATTGGATAGAATGACTTTGGCAATTTTGCAGGGAGATGATGATGGAAAAGAAGAAGGGGATGAGGAGAAAGACGAGGGGGAAGGGGAGACAGGTGAAGAAGAGGAAGCAAGACGTGAATCATATTCATAAGATAGATGTCAATCATAATTGTTTGACAATCGCAGCACGTGGTTAATGGATAGCCGACGATTCCGACTGCAGGGTGTCGCACACGGTTGTAGTGACGATGGTAGTAATAGTAGTAGTGCATCCTTTGGTGATAACCAGAGATGAGATAGTTGACCTAACGGGTATTACATTGAAGAAATCGTTTCCCATCACAGGTCTGTCAGTCACCAGTTATTCCTTTAATAGACTGATGACTGGTGACACACTGTTGTAAGTGCGTCAACTGACAAGAGGTAATGAGGAACAGGAAATGGATAATCCTTTTATGTTTTTTTGCATGTTAATGTGATTTGTATAACATCCACTTCCTTGGTAGCCTCCGCCTCCTCTTTCCCCGTCCATTTGATGCGCATATTAACGGGCTCAGCTTTCCCATGAGGAATGATTGATTCTTTCACAAGGCAAGTAAAATTGTTATTCCTAGAGCATTTTTTGTAGCACGTTCCAAAGCTACACTCCCTTCTTTTGTTTCTCCTCCTCATGCCATGTAAGAGGGTGCTGGAGACGTTCCGCAGTGGTAGCCACAGCACTGGTGTTCACTGATTCAGCACATTTGTTAATGTGGAAATGCGAATGAGGGAGGAGCTCTTTAAAGTTGGTAGGGAGGGCACTGACAAACTGAGGCAGACCCATTTGATGCCTCGCAGTGCAACGACAAATGCTCTCAACTGTCAAGCCACCTTATATTAGCAGCAAATCATACTACTAAGGTAAGTCGAAAGGACCACAAATTCCTTTCCGTCACCCAGTATTCCAGCAATCAGTCAAACTCCACCTTTGAGGGTAAGCCTTCAAACATCCGAAATGGCACACTTTGCTTTTGGCAACCAACTCAATTTAGATGTCTATCAGGCAGCGCAGCCTCGGTTACTGATTTTAATGGTTTTACCTGCCCTTCAAGCAGTAATGTACCTTGTGCTGTAGGTCTTGCTTCCTAAAAAAAGTTTATTTAAAACAAACTAATGCGAGGAAAAAATTTGTGTATGCGTTTAAATAAATAAACTCCTAACCGGAGGCAAGACTGGCACTCAAAGGAAAAGTTAAAAGTACAGAAATGCAAATTACTCTTCTTCAAAAATTCTGTGGTTTTATCTTCCCACAGGTTAAACTCAACGTCTAGTAAACAGTGCATCCTTTTTATTTTACTTAATTCTGTCAATCTTCGTAGTGTCAATCTTTTTGTTTGTTTTTTTTTTTTAGTGAATTTGGCTGAAGCAGACGGAGGGTCGTTAACGTAGGAGACTGTGCATCTAAAAGGGGGACAATGCAAGCCCAACCTACTGTCTTCAATACTCAAAAAAGGTAGAGTTGATAAGCAATGCGTGAGAATCGCCCATAAAAGCTTTAAATAGCTTTCTAAAACCACTTCTGCCGTAGTGGGCGGAGTGAGTACGTAGTAGTTTGAATATTAACGATAATGAGTTAGTGGAATGAAGAGAAAGGAACTAAAGTTAGGGCAGAGGTAATAGGCTCAATTGGGGTAAACACACACATATTCATACTCACGGAGGTTATGTGACCTTTCAGATTGTATTGCATAAGCTGTAAAAGTAAGTACAATACATAATGTTAATGTTTTATTGAGGAAATGGAGGGTGGGAGGCCCCTCTGGGAACCGGAAGAGCCTGTTGGTTCACGGATTGGGTTAATCTGACTCTTAATTAAAGAGACACTTATCACACAATTTTCTCATCGGTTTGAGCTCCTCATCTTCGCGGCCGACAAGTGGTGTGGCTTTATAGTGTATCGTGTTTCGTCGCGTACGGAGCTGTGTATCACAGGTATAATACGTACATGCATTGTTATCTTTTAACTGCTGCCCCCAGTTTCTGATCAGTGACTAGAGAAGAGCGTTTAGAGGAGAAGTTCTTGCATTCTACAAGTGATCAAAGTTTTGTCGAAGAATCAAAGCTTGTCTCCTCCTCCTCGGGGATCGTTGTCGCCCCTTCGGTCACGAGGATGGCGAATTTCCATCCACCTAACGCAAAAACATTGCCTATGCGGCTTTACAGATAAAAAGGGAAATAATCAGTGTTTAAAACAAATGGGTGACGTTAAGGTCAGCAGATGTATTCCGGTTTATTCTGACTGTATATTACCTCCTAAAGTGTACAAATGGAAAAGTCAACCCCACACTAGCTCCTCAGATCACTTTCTAGTAGCATAGACTTGTTACTGCCAAAAAACGAAGGACATGATTATCAATCTACCCAGACTATAGAGCACAATCACTTTCCTTTTTGGTGATCGTGATAACAATACTGCATCATACTTGAAGACGTAAATCTTGTCATAGAGGAGGCCTACTAAGACACAGATAAATGCCTCAAAATGGGTAATATTGTTGTATTGCAGCGGTTCTGATGAGGCACACAAAATTGGGCTATCAATCAAACTGAAATCCGCAAAACAAAAACGGGGAGGTTTATCACTTTATATCATTTTGTTTTTTCCTTTCGTGACAATATTTCATTTAAAGGAAGTTAAAAAACCCTCTTAAAGTTAGTTAACCAATGGAGGGGATCTTCAGAATTACTTTCGTCGTCATTACTTATTTTGTTGGTACTGACTTTTAATCTTCCAACAGCTTTCCTGCCTCGGTGTGGAAAATTACACTTGAAGGGTTGTCTGACAACAATGATCTCTTCTCCATTCTGTCCCCTTTCGTAGTCAGTTATAATTATCCAGGAAGTGAAAAGGCACATCCGCTTGAGGTAGGTGCAAATCAGGGCGTAGAGGACTTCATCGCATACCATGTACAAGTGTTCTGATGGTATTTTGTCAATTCAAAAGGCGAAGAAAGCCTTTTCAACTAAAAGTTGTTCCAACTTTCTGCTGCTCATCCAGCTTTTTGCTTGGTTCCCATGTCAAAGCACTCCTTTGGATGAGAAGACCTAGACCAGCCCAGGCTAAATGGCCATAGATATCATAAAGACTGCCATTTTTAACATACCAAGCAAGGAACACCAAACAATTTTCCAGCCCGACATTAGTTTTAACAAGTGCTAAATGATGTCAAGTCTCTTTTACCACCACTACTACCATCATCACCTTCGTCATCATTATCAGCATATTCGTGGTTAATTTTTGTGTACCCTTGAGTAATAAGGTAAATCAGTTTGTGAAAAGTGGAAAAAGGTGGTAAAGTTTACTTCCGTACACCGCCCGACTCCTTTAAAAGGGACCGCAAGATAGGGGCATCCAATGTTTTAATGAGTGAAGACACTTTACAACTAAGGCGCTTTTTATCTGGAAAAGGTGGTTTCTTATCAGAAAGAACAGTCTTTGACTAACAGAGTAACCAATTTCTGCTGTAATGTTTGTAAAAACTCCTAACACATGTGCCCTATATCCGTGAAGAAACGACGGCTCTTCTGGCTTCCTTATCCAAACCATTGGAACACCATTTGTTGGTCAGATAATTATCCTTTTACAGAGCAAATGTAGTATCATTTTACTGAGAAAAGCGCTTAATAAAAAAGTTCTTATTGTGGTGTACCTTGACTCTTCATCCATCTGATCGATCTGGCATTTAACTTACGTATTGAGACAAAAGGCAGAGTCCATTCTTTGAGCCTTAGCCACTCTAAGACTTGACTTTCCATGAAAATGAACTTAATTCGGTTAAAATTTCTTGGCGGCAAAAAAACGGGAGTGAGAAACACTTGACAGTTTTGCACAAACAGCGAAAAATCAGTCCACACCTCCTCCTTCCCCTCCTCTTTCCCCTTAGACTAAGGGCGAGTAGATGGAGATTGGGGCAGCTTGATTGTTCTGTCCCCAATGAGAACTGCTGTTGCAGCGTTTCACGAGCAAGTAGGTGTACCAAATAGAACACAGGACGGAGGACCTGTAGCCGCAACCTCGAGAATTAGCCGAAGTGCCAATTTCGCCACTTTGAAATGGATACACGACAGGAGTTGCAGGTGGTGGGGAAATGAGTTGCAGAGTGGGACTATGTGTGTGAGAGGGCGAGCAAGAGAAGTAGCACGGGGAATGAAAGACAAGAGGAGGAGGAGAGGCACAACCAAAATGCCTTTTCTTTGTGTCTTAACACGCGCGCGCAAAAGCGCTTACGAGTCCAACCGCCTTGCAAAAATTAATCGGTTTTGAAGCGGAAAAGACGGCAAGAAACAATGTTGCAAACTTTGCCAAAGACTACCGCGTTTAACATCCTCCTTCTGCAAAAGTTACTGCCTTGGGCTTTTGTACACTCATCCAGTTTAACTATGGTCAATTAAGTGGCCAAATTAGACCGCATTGTTTGGAAGAGACTTGCAAATTCTCTGGTGACTGAATGGCGCGTCGAGGACTTCCAACAGAATATACGCCATGACACCATTTTGTCCCTTCTCTTCTCTCTGAAAGTGCATGTATGTCTTCCTTAAGGCAAAATTGACCTAATTTAAAAAACGAATCAAATTTAATTTAAACTTATCCCCACGTCTTTTTTAAAGTAAAAATGTCCTACTGGGTGTCCAGCACATCAGATCCATTGGTTCCGATTCACAGGGGCTGACCCACCCAAACCACTAGCCGTGAGGCAGTATGGAGGGACAAGGTTTAAACTGAGCTGGAAAAAAAAGGGTGTTACTTTGCCTCACTCAAATACACAATCAAAACTACTTAATTATTTCTGACAGCTTCGCTCCTGCCGTAGTGCAACCTTGGCATGCCTAGGAGGTCTATCCGACAAGTGCGGCTCGAGTGTGTCTCCACGATACCTCAATTTTGACAGGTAACCAAAATTCTTCTTTTTTTATTTTACCGGGTGTTTTCAAATTTGCTTGGGTGTTTAGTGAGCATCCTCAAATAAAAATGAAATAAAACAAACACTTGTTGCTTTATTTACAGCTCACAGGTAAAAAAGAGGGGCCAAACAAGATGGTAATTCTTGATAGAAGAGGTATTTTGCCATAGAAAACATTTTGTAGGATAAATTGCACCAAATGCTCTATTTATATTTACACAAGGTGATGAGTTGGGTCAATACCTCACCAAAAGACTACAAGTAACAGATTTTGTTGGAGAAGGAAGAAGAAGAGGCGGTGGCGGAGTTAAATATAGCCATCAAAATATCCATGTAAAGACGGCAGTGAATAAAATCAGCCCCGACTCCCGATGCCATCATTTGTGTGGCTTTGTTTCTCAAAGGTTTCCACTCTCGGTGCATTATTTCTGCAGACGCCCAATACTTTCTTTTTACCTCTATCTAGCTTCCGGTAGGGTAAATCCAGGTTACACAATAACTTCAACTGCGGTATGGAATAACCCTGCATTTATGCAATTTCAGTCCTCAATTTTACCGAGTTGAAGTAGGTCGGAGGAGTTATCGTTAAGTCCAACACAAATGCGGTCTTTCTGATCACTTCCCAAAGTAGTAATAAAGGCAGGCAAAGAAGCTGTAATGCGGGAACAAGGTATGCTTCTACCTCTTCCAACATCACATCAATCATACTTGAACTGCTGAAATACATAATAATCTTCCGGTTGTTTCCAATACATAATCGTATAATCTGGACTCAGAATGTCAGAGGACCTCTTACCGTCTTACCTTTAAGGAGTGAGACAAACAATGACGCGTTGTTTTAAGGAAGGTAAATCAACATAATTTTGGCATTTGGGTTTGGAAGTGAATGGACGATTTTGTCCACCCTCACACCGTAGACTTGATGTGTTCAAGTTGTATACCCCATACCTACCTCTTTGTGTTTCTTAGGCTATTTATAGTCCAAATCACTTAATAAAGAAGGAAGAGATCGAAACAAACCTTCAAAATGACTAGTCAAGAGTCTGCTTTTCGTGTACCTTGTTGCCGTAAATCCGCAGAACAAGATTCTCCTCCATCCGTTTTCCATGTTCGTCTTTTGCTTTTTTGTGGCTAACAGTAGCATCGGGAATGTTGAAGTGCCTTTCAGATAGTCACGAATCTGTAGGTATTAGAGACATTGAAGCATTCCTTGTCTTATCTTGATTAAACAGGGTGATTGACACTAGCTAGTCAAAAGCAAAGCTGATTTTTCACCTCCAAATTTGCCATTTTATCCAGAGAATAGCCTTTTTTGCGTCTTCTTGCTAGGCCACCTATTTTTCCTTATTTTCCTTGCAATTTTTCAAGTTCTGGTAGCACAATTTAGCACTAAACTGTCAGTTGCATCCTCGACAGGGAAAAATTAAATTAAACAAGCTTATCATGTTTCCTCCTGTAAGAACTTGTCTATACATGTGCTAATTTCTTCCATTTTGCGAAAAATGCAAAAAAAAGGGGAGAGAAAATAAAATAAACGAACGAGTACCGATGCAAGCGCCTTTTGCGATGATTAAGCAGGAAAGTATTTTATACGTTTGATAATCAAGAGGTGAAATAAAAAGGAGAACAAATATGACCTTTAAATTTGATACTGAGAAGTTATTTTGCAAATGGGTGTATCAATACACTCACAGATTATCAACAGGTAAGCGGCACTAAAACAATCACATCACGGATTTTGGAATGTGGCAGATTTCCAGGAATCAGTCAATGGACCGCTACACGCAACTGTATTCGATATTTCAGCAATTCTTGAGGTATATCAGGTCCTAAAAGCTACTTTAACGTAACTTATTGTATCTACATTCCTTATTCTTTGTGACCTTTTAACTAATCCAGTGGGTGCCTGTGGCAAAAATGTTCATTAGACCAGCCTCCAATGTTAAACCACTGAATCGGATAAGCCCCAGGGGGCTATTTGAAAAATCCCCTAAAAACGTGCTGGTTACTGATGCAAGTGCATGACATTTGGATTAAATGTCTAGTTCATCGGTAGAGCCGAATATTAGGCTTCTGTTTGTTTACACAACAAGTTGGGCACCCATTAATAGGTAACTAAAATGAGCGTCTCCTATTGGTCATCTGGGAGGCGGCTTCCTATTGGTCAAGAAAGCTAAACGAGGACTGACTTACTAAGTGCCAGCTTGTGAAAAAATTAAAAGGAAATTTTGTGGCAATTACGATTTACTTGTTAACACAACCGGATTAATATACAGTGGGTTTGGTGACGGGTAGGTTCTGCTTCTTTAAATGACCTGCATACTTCTCTTAATCCTCTTTGTAATATTAAGAATGAGACGTTTTGTGCAACCAATTTTCATTGCCTAGATGACTGGAATAATGGATGAAGTTGTTTCTAGGTTCATAATTAGTTTAAGATGCTTAAGGCTGTTTCTTATAAAAAAGGTTGTGCTGTTTATCAAGAAAGCTGTGGATAAATATATTGTCCGTTCAATGTAAGTACTAGTTAGATTGAGCTCCTCTTTTTTCAAGATAAGTAAGAAATAATCGCATGCCTAAAGTAAAGATTATCACGGACAATAAGTAATTCCTATGGAATTGGTATATACTGTGATTGGATGGAATTTGTAATAAGGAAAATTTTATATTACCAAGGCGGGCGATTTAATTTGCTCTAAATATCACATTTAATGAGGTCATTCTGCCTCATTAGGGAATTAGCCACCTCTGGGGGATCCTATCTGTGGTGAATTTACGACTATCGCGTTGCCCTTAGACTCTAATCTATGTTTCATATTACCTAAGACCGATTGTGCATTACTACTGCCTACGAAGGTCCTTCCCGTAAAAGTGATTTTGAACCTAGCAACTTGCGTCTGTGGTAAATACTAAAATGACTTTTATAGCCTCCAATCACGCCTACAGCATATTGAC